CCGTGCATGTGCATTTGAAGTGGGAGAGGAGGTTGAAGCAATAACTGTGAGTTGGGCCAATTTCTTGAAGCTCTTTCTGCCTCTGAGATTCTCTGCCTCTGTGGTTCAAGCAGAGGAAATCTGGGCATTTGTCCAAAGACTATTTTTGCGGTGGAGGTGGGAGAGCCAGCTTTTCTGGAGGGTGTTGTGGAATGGGCTACTCATTTACACTTCTACTCCATCACTAGCCCCACTCCTTTAATCTCCATATAGTATTACAGTATTTTGTTTTCTAAAATAGCAGATTGACAGTAAGTGACAAAACCAGCATCTCATTGGTCAGGGCTTGTGGGGGAGGAAGAGAGAAGAAAGTGGAACTCAATGTATTAACATTTTATTGGCTAAGAGGTTGCTTCTGAACCAATTGAATACCTTCCCCATTGACTGTTGCTGGGGGGAAGCCAAAATCTTTGGCAGCAAGAGTAACCAGCTGACAGCTGGGAGAAACCACCAGTTCTAAAAAATGCTCAGAAAGAGGCGGGTGAGGGGAGGGAGGGAGCAGAGCAGCTATACTGAGCAACTTCCCCAGACAGGACCTTATATGGGGACAGGCCCAGACTACTTAAGCAGCCTTAGGAAAGAAAGGGAGGGGAGGAAGTAGATTTCAGGCATCCTCCACAGTCTTTGGGCAACCAGCAGCAGGCCCTACAAACCCAGTAATAAACAAGTATACAAACAGCGAAACACATTGACATACACATGTCCCACTTCATAGAGATACACTGGCACATTGATAATGTAGATGCAAATAAGCACTGAGAAGCTGAGAATTTTGGCCTGAAAATGAGTCTGAGGAAACTATATTAATTGACCTAATTTCCCAATTAGAATTAACTGTTTATTCCATTTATTTGCTCAATAAATAAACCATTGGGTTACAAATTGGAATCAAATCATGCTCTCTCAGCATCTGGAAAGGACACAGATTTTTGGAGTCAGACTGAGTCTAAGCTTTGCTACTTACATGTAATGTGATCTTAAATTACTTGATCTCTGTGAGCTTCAGTTTCTTTATCTGTAAAACAGGTATATTACTACCTGTCTTATGGAGAGGCTGTCAGAATTTAAGAATATAATGATGTAAATACTTGGCCCTATGTCTGGCTTCCAGTAAGTGTCAATACATGCTGATTCTCTTTTTCAAAATCTCTTCCTTTGTCCCCTTCCCACTCCTGTATTAGCATGAGAAAATAATTATACCAAGGAACTGTTGGATCTAAGGTGGGCTATTTTGTGTGCAAAAGGTCTGAGTTACATTCAGGAGATGATAAAAGGGAAGACACTGTCCCTGTCCTCAGAGAGTTCACGATCTGGTGGCTGAGACAGGTAAGACAAAAATTCCAAACCTGTGTGATAGATGCCATGATAAAGGAGGCACACCTAGCATAGAATATGGGCTCACAGAAGTGTTCCTGGAGAAGGTGTCTGCCTCCCCTTTTAGAAGTAAGCTGTAAACCTGCAGGGACCCCCTGGAGAGTAGGGTGATGTGGAGGAATAAAGAATTTCAGCTTGCTAGGTCAGCTCCAGTGCCTTTCTCTGTTACGCAAAACCAAAGTGAAGTAAAGACAACATACTTGAAGCTGGAAGATAATACTGTAAGGACTTGAGTGGGATTCAAAGGGATAGGTTTGGGGAGAAGCTACCATCTAGGTGGACAATGTTGAATGGGAGAGAGAGGATTTTAAAGACATTGGGCTGTGCATTAAAATGTGCTCCTGCTCCACTCTGCCCTCCCCCACGCCTCTGATGTTTCCTTGAGAAACTAAGTAGAGATTTATATTATTTTAAAATAGTTTTTGATTACTAGACTGGGTTTCTTCTATTGTGTTGTGTGTCATGACTGGGCCACTAGGGGCCCCAGGATTTATTCAGAATATAGAAATACAGGATGTTGTGGTGGAAACCAGCATACTAGAATTTAAGTTTTCAGAAATGTAGCAATTCTAGATGATGACTAAGTCCAGGGTGTGGCCAGGGTGAGATGGAATGGAGGTGAAGTTTCTTGAAAACTGGGAGCTTACAAATGAAGGTAGGGGAGTTATCAGAAAATGGTAGATACAGAGGAGGGATAGAAGGTGAAGGTCAGTTTTATAAGAACAGAACACTATGGAGGAGTAGAGGCTCAGAAGAAGGGTCCTCTAGGAGAACCACATTTCAACTATCTGTATGGGTCTGTCTTTTCCACTACACAGTGAGCTCCTTAAAAAAAATCAGGGCTTTTACTCAACTCCTACTTTGTCTTCAAAATTCAGATGTACTGAATATCTGCTGCCTGTTGGCACTTTTCCATAGTTCTCACTAATTATCACAAAACCCTTTAAGGTGGGGTGCATTTTACAGATGAAACCCAGAGAGTGTATTGCTCAGCATCACACAGCCAGTGGATTCCAAAGCTGGCATTGTACTCAAACCCAGTATTATCTCATTTTGAGCCTCCACAGTTACCTCAGACTCACGAAGTCCAAAATTTACTTGTCATCTCTACCATTTCCCCCTAAATGTGCCTTTTCTAAGTTTTGTTTCTCATTAAATGGCACCATCATCCATCCAGTGGTCCACAATAGAAATCTGGGAGTCATCTTGGAGTCCTCTAACTGCCTGATGTGGCACATCCAGACAGTCACCAAATCCTGTTTGCCTCCTAAAAACTCTCAAAGACATCCTCTTTCCTCTAGTCCCACTGATATTACCTTATTTTGCATTAGCTTCACCTCACTTCTGGATTTCCGCAGTAACCTCCTAAATGGTGTCCCTGCTTCCGGTCTTGACCACTTTAATTAACGCTCCACATTTCCACCAGAGTTAACTTCCTAAAGTTCTGAGCATACTCTCTGTTTAGAGCACTTTAATGCCTTCCTCTTGCCCTCAGGATCAAACTCAAACTCTTTTAATGTGATTTATGGAGTCTTTCATTATCTGGCACCTATTTGCCTCTCCAGTCTCAACTCTCTATTCCCTTCACTCTATTGTCCAGCCTTACTGATCCATTTTTAATTTACCAAACTCCTTAATTTCTTCCTCATTTCCAGGAAATGAGGTTTATGGTTTCCTCTGCCCAGAACACTATTCATCTGTCGAAATGCAATTTTCAGAAAAAGGTAAAATTATGACTCTCACACTGTTAAAGGAAGAATTATTCTGACACTTGTTAAAATGGTAGGGAAGACTTCATTCAGGGGTGTTGCCATAGGTGTCAAGACTGTCCCAGTCGCAGAGAAATTGGGCTCAACTCTGAACACAGCACGGATAAGTAGATATTTATAGCCAATGAACAAAATGAGAGTCAATGGATGGAAAATTACATCAAGGGTAGGGAAATTCTTGCTAAACTGACTTAAAATTCTTGCTGACAGCAGGCCAGGGTGATTAGATGTTAAGGGTGGGTGATTCTCACTAAACTGACTCAGCAGGATTCTAGCTAAAAGTGGCTAGGGGCCCAAAGACGAGTCCTGTTGAAAGCAGGGCTCAAAGGAGCCTGTCTAAAGTTTGGTCAAGGAGAGTTTTTGTCAATACTTACATAAAAAAGAACACATATTAAAGATTTTATTTATTTATTTTTGAAAAAAAATTTTTTTATAATTTTATTTATTTTTTCCCCCAAAGCCCCAGTAGATAGTTGTATGTCATAGCTGCACATCCTTCTAGTTGCTGTATGTGGGTCGCGGCCTCAGCATGGCCAGAGACGCGGTACGTCGGTGGCTACGTGGGATCCAAACCGGTGCCGCCAGCAGTAGAGGCCCGCACTTAACCGCTAAGCCACGGGCCTGCCCCATAAAGATTTTATTTAACTTGTGAGGAACTGGACGATGTTATTACTGGTTCAAAAGAATATCTAAAGAAGAGACACATTTACAGATCGAGAATACAGAAACCAATATGAAAATGGAGGCAAAAACTTTTTTCCACAATGTGGGGAGTAGGGGGTTAACTGAACCTCTATGAGACAGGACTGGAATTTGCATGTCTATCAATTTCCTACATAGAGCTGTAAAATCCCCATGGAAACTAGAAACTGAATCTTATAAAGCATAAGGATGTGCAATAGACAAGTCCTTCAGGTTTCCCATTAGCCATCACTTCTTCTGGGAAGGCTTTCCGGATTTCCACATGTGAATGAAGTGCAACTTCTGGGCTATCATATTTATCACACTATTGGTTACAACACTCCGTTCCTCCCATACAAGCACACAAGACCATGAGCTTTCTGAGGCAGACACTGTGAGTTATTCAAGTTTCCTCAGTGTGAACATCTGCTTCTAAGGAACACAATATGCTAACGGAGTAGTGGAAGCCACAAGATAAACATATTGCATATTAATGGAGTGTCCATTTTACTCTAATATCTGGGGAAACACATTTTTACATTAAAGCAGACGCGCTTCTTCTCTCCACACTCAATGTTTCCTTGTTTTATTAACTGTTTCTATTTTAAGGCCTGCAGAATACCATGGGATACAAAAACGCTCCAGAGCAGTCAGCAGTGATGCACCCTGACAAGAAACAATTTTGAAACTAAGTGGCGCTTGGTTGCAAGCCCGGGGTGATAGTGAGGCCTTGGGAAGCGCCCGAAATTGTCCCACCGGCCTCTCGGTCAGTCTCGGCCCAGAGGAAAGTCCTGGTTTGAGCTGCTGTTTTTACAAGTCTGCGGGGTGGGAAATGGAATCCCCCTAGGAGTCGGTCCTGTGGGGATGAGCCGCCGCGCAGCCTCCCCAAGGGGTCGAGCCCTTTCCGGCCCGCGGCACAGCCTCCTCCCAGCCCCGCCGGGCAGCGCTCCGCCACCCCCATGCCCGGCCGCGGGATGCTCGGATCCCGCGCTCCACCAGCCCGGGCGGCCCCACCCGAGGCCCCGCCCCGTGACGCGAGGCCCCGCCCCCGCAGCGCCAGCTTCCAAGATGGCGGCAGCGATGCCTGCCCGGCTGTCAGAGTGGCGGTGACGACGGGAAGCTGAAAATCAGGTATGTGGGCTCGGGGTGGTGGGGTGAGGGGCCCGGGAGAAAGGTTCGGGCGATTGGGAGGATGAGAAGTTTTGGGTAAAGGCTGAAGACAAGCTTGAGCAGGGAGGGGGTCCCAGATGGAAGTATGGACAGAGGCCGGGTGGGCTCACATTGCAAGGTAGGGCAAACGCAAGAGGAGGTTGGGGTGGAATGGGGGTGCTGCGAAAGAACTGGGCTGTAACCCGCTGCAGAGCGCTGACCACGCCCCTCTAGGAGAGTTAGCCCAGGTACTCTGGACAGGTTCTGTCCAGCCCGCCCTCTCCCTATCTTCCTTTAGCAGTAACCCTCCTCCCCACCCCCCAGGACTGAGGAAGGGTAGAAAAGGTAGAGGACGCCTCCCCCACCCTACTCCCCGCCGCGCTCCAGGGCTGTTTGCTTGCAGCTCCCAGGTGGTCACACTCCCTGCACCTGCGGAGCTAGCTCCCAGGCACGTGAAGAACGGAAAGGAGCCTGTTTCCTACTCCACCCTGGGTTCTCTTGAGGCCACTCTACAGTCCTGTCATGACTGCCTCACCCCCTGTCGAAAATGTCTCCATTAGCTGCCCTGTCCCCACTCCCCAAACAGGTTGGTCCTGTTGGGGTAGGGGAATGGTTAAGTACCGATTGAACCTGACACTCCAGGATAGCCCCGGGGAGAGGCCAGCGACCTAACCTCTCCTGCTCCCCCCTCTTTTCTTTCCAACCACTTTCCCTCACATCCCCTGCTGGGAAACCGGCTTCACCCTGATCCTGATCTCTGCCCCTCTGTGGGTGGCTGGTTATCCTTGACCAGCTTCTGTTCCAGCTGGTCCCAGGATCACTGTTGGAGTGCTAGATGGAGCCTTTCTCTGTCCTCTGTGACATTCCCAATTTTAGATAATGCCTCACATCTCTGTCCCCCCGGGACCTCCTGGAGCCCCCATGATCCAGAAGAAGACAGCTTGAACCTAGGTGAGTCTTTCTCTTCCCCTCTAAAACTGGAAGAGAGGTTCTCCAGAGACTCCTCTGATATGGACTTGGGACCTGAATGATGTAAGCATTCTTGAGAGTGGGGACTGAGTAGATGCAGGAGTGGTTTGAGAAGGGGGTGGAGGAGAGTGAAACTTGGGCTGAAGTGACAGGTGGTAGGGCTGCTGGTGGTTACATTCTATTTCTTTTTCTTGCATGACCGGACACCTTTGTGGTCCCTTCTGTGACTTTATTTTTTGCTTCTTTTTCCTCTTTACCCCTGGCACCACCTTCAGCCCTACCCGATGATTTCTGTGCTGGCTTGATCTCTTCCTGCCCACCTCCAGAACTCTCCTCTCTCCCTCTTCAGACCTCACCCCAGGATGTTGCGGAGGCTGTTGGAGAGGCCCTGTACACTGGCCCTGCTTGTGGGCTCCCAGCTGGCCGTCATGATGTACCTGTCACTGGGGGGCTTCCGAAGCCTCAGTGCCCTATTTGGCCGAGAGCAGGGGCCGACATTTGACTATTCTCATCCCCATGATGTCTACAGTAACCTCAGTCACCTGCCTGGAGCCCCTGCTGCCCCAGGGGGCCCTCCAGCTCCTCAAGGTCTGCCATACTGTCCAGAACGATCTCCTCTCTTAGGTGAGTGCGGAAGGAACGAGGAAGTGAAGGGAAAGCCGAGATGTGGGGGCAAGGAGGCTTGGGCAGGCAGAGGGTGGCAGAAGTAGGACTCAGAACAGGAGGTTAATGCAATTGCAAGATGGGCCGAGGCTGAGATATAGTGGACTCTGAATTTAGAGTTTAGATTGGGCTCTTGGATTGAGCCACAACTTTCTATTGCCTGCCCATTTATGAGCTCTTCCTGCCTTGGGTTAAGAATTGCTTCCTTAGTAGATGAGCCCAGGCTTAGTTAGTTAGTTGGAAGTCCTTCTGTTCTCTCCATCCCTTAACTATAGCTTCCAACCTTGTGAGGCAGGAGAGAGTTATGGAACCCTAAAATACAAAGGTAGACTAGGTTAAGGAGCCTGCATCTTCCAGACTTTGCAAAGCTCTCCCAATGATGGTGAACTCAAGGCTGTGAAATTTCTGAGTCAGCCCTTAGGGGAGCTGAGCCTCAGAACCAGACTGTGGGGGCCTGAGGTGTTCCCAGGCCCTGGCGGTCCTTCTTTTCTCCCTGCCCCTCTAATCCCTGACCTTGCCATTCCCTCCCAACAGTGGGTCCCGTGTCCGTGTCCTTTAGTCCAGTGCCGTCGCTGGCAGAGATTGTGGAGAGGAATCCCCGAGTGGAACCGGGGGGCCGGTACCACCCCGCAGGGTGTGAGCCCCGCTCCAGAACAGCCATCATTGTGCCCCACCGTGCCCGGGAGCACCACCTGCGCCTGCTGCTCTACCACCTGCACCCCTTCTTGCAGCGCCAGCAGCTTGCTTACGGCATCTATGTCATCCACCAGGTATCCCCAGTCCCCACTCCACTCTCTTTTTTGTAAGGCAACTTCAAGTAAATGCTACTCCACTCTCATATAGTGGGTCCCGGGAATAATTTTAAAAGTCAGACTGTTGAATGTGGGAAAGCACCTGGCACTGCTCTGCCGACTTGTTAGTTATTCTGTTTAGGGTATTCCCACTGTCCTGTACTCTCCCATGATTTTTCCTTTGTTGAATTTGGAATTGTGCAAATTTGGAATTGGACAGATTTGGGCTAAAATTCTATTTCTTCCATTTGTCCCATATGTGACCTTGAGCAAGACGTTTAACCCCCTAAAATGAGGCAAAGAACGATAACTAATATACATCTGTTTCCCATGGTTGTCAGGATTAAATGCTAAACAGCAGCATGTAAGTATCAGGCACATAACGATGCTCAAAAAAATTTTGTTGAATAAAAAAATGAAAGATAGTTTGTCTTTCTCTTGATTCTCCTTGCCCCACAGCCCACTTTGGTTTCTCTCTTTTCACTTTTATACTCTGCCCCCTCTTCTCCCTGCTACCTACAGACATAGTCTGGTCCTCTTCCATTATTATATTCCAGGCTGGAAATGGAACATTTAACAGGGCAAAGCTGCTGAACGTTGGAGTGCGGGAGGCCCTGCGTGATGAAGAGTGGGACTGCCTGTTCTTGCATGATGTTGACCTCCTGCCAGAGAATGACCACAATCTGTATGTGTGTGATCCCCGGGGACCCCGGCATGTTGCTGTTGCCATGAACAAGTTTGGATACAGGTAGAGGGCATGAGAGGGTGCTGGAAAGGAGGTAAACCCACTATCCATTGGAAGGAGGAGAGCCGAGGGGATTGTGGGTAGGAGTGTCTCCCCAGACTTGTGGAATTCAAGGATCTTTCTCTCTCTAGCCTCCCGTACCCCCAGTACTTTGGAGGGGTCTCGGCGCTCACTCCTGACCAGTACCTGAAGATAAATGGCTTCCCCAATGAATATTGGGGCTGGGGTGGTGAAGATGACGACATTGCTACCAGGTCAGACTTCCTGCCATGGCCTCCCTCCCTCACCCCAGCCTGGATCCCTGTCCTCTGAGACCACCCCTGGCCATAGCCTTTTAACACTAACTTTTAGCTCCCTGATCCTGCACTGTGCCCATTCCTCCTTCTTAGTCTTTTCAGTCTACCCAGGTCAGGCTTTGCATGCAGCCCCCCATTCTGTCATCCTTCAGTCTCCCAGATCTGGTTAATTATGTTCCTACGAGAAAGGATAAGATCAATAGGCTATAGTGTCATGGGATTCCAGAGCTGGAAAGGGGCCTAGAGATAGTTTAGTCCTGCCTTCTGCTAGGGTTGCATCCAGAGCACTTCCTATGGGGCTGGGGGAGGAAGGGCTCTCCTCCATAGAGCCCAGAATCACTTTTTTTTTTTAAGCCTGTGCCATTGTCATAATGTCAACTCATTTTTAGCATGTGAAACATTTTGACCTTCAGCCTCAGCTGACCTAATTTCATATCTGTGGTGTGGTGTGAATATTTGGGCTTGATATGGTGGATCCATTGCCTGCCCTCTCCCTGTGTCCTTTGGGATGACATCTCTGTGAATTCTGGTCCTCTGTATGTGTGTAAAGTACCCAGCAATTTCTAAATGTATGTATTCTTTCAGTACCTTCCCAGGCCATCTTCACGTCTTGCTTCTGTGTGTCAGAGTTGGGATTTGTTTCTCGGTCCTGATTACCTGCTTCCGCGCTTTTCTTAACATTGTGGTGGGGCCGGGGTGGGGGGGGGGGCGGGCAGGGGCTGCTGGGCAGAGGAGTTGAGGCAGACCAGCCACTATTCTAAATAAGAATTGCTGAGCTTGGGTCTTAAACTCTCAGTCTTGTCCTGTCCTTTTGACAAAATGGCTCCTCTCCCTGTCCTTCCCAGACTGCAAGGGCAGCTCTGGGCGCCAGTTAGGAAACAAAGATGGGAGGTGCAAACCTACCTCTGCCAATTGTTTAAAGGCCCCAGGGTGCCTGGCACTAGGCCCTGAGGATTTCGATACATCCAGCTTTTACATTCTCTTCAGCCATTTCCTTCTTTGTTTAACTCTCTCCCCTTCCAGTACTGGGCACTTTTTTGTCTAACTAGTAAGAGTTGCTCTTTGTGTACAGAAACATGCCATCCCTTCCTTGCTGGCATTAGTTCTTCTTGCTCGCCTGTCAGCAGCTTTCCTCCACTCTGGATCCTCCAAGGTGCCCTCACTTTTCCCATAGGGTACGCCTGGCTGGGATGAAGATCTCTCGCCCCCCCACGTCTGTGGGACACTATAAGATGGTGAAGCACCGAGGAGATAAGGGCAACGAGGAAAATCCACACAGGTAGGAAGGGAGGACTGCCTGGGAATTGTTTCTGGATCCTTGGGGTTCTGCATCCTAGCCAGGAAGTTCCTAAAGGTCCCTAGATTCCTGGCTATTCCTTTCTGGGTCTTAGTCTCCAACCTCTAACCCTCAGATTTGACCTCCTGGTCCGTACCCAGAATTCATGGACGCAAGATGGGATGAACTCACTGACCTACCGATTGCTGGCTCGAGAGCTGGGCCCTCTCTATACTAACATCACAGCAGACATTGGAACAGACCCTCGGGGTCCTCGGACTCTCTCTGGTCCCCGTTATCCACCTGGTTCCTCCCAGGCCTTCCGTCAAGAGATGCTGCAGCGCCGGCCCCCAGCCAGGCCTGACCCGCCACCTACTGCCAACCACACAGCCCCCCATGGTTCACACTGACTCCTCCTTCCTGCCTACCTTAATCATGAAACCGAATCAGAGGGGTTGTATTCTCCCCACCCTCAGCTCCTCACTGCTCAGAGAGATGTGGGGGAACTGAACTCTAGTGCTGTGCTGGGGGCAGGGGCCTCTCCCCACTGCTGGACTGGAGCTGGGCTCCTCTAGACCTGGGAGTCCCTCTTTCTAGGGTCACTTGCCAGGGCTTAAGACTGTGAATCCTTGGTGTCATGATTTTATGTGATGACTCCTGGGAGTCTCCTGCCCCTGGGGCAGAAGGAGGGCTGGACCCCAAGTCCCTTCCTCTTCAGTGGAGAGAAGAGTGATCTGGCTTCTGGAGGGACCTCTGTGAATATTTATTCTATTTATGGTTCCCAGGAAGTGTGTTTGTTGAAGGAAGCCCCTCCCTGGGTACTTTCTGCCAGTGCTGGAATAGCTCCCTCTTCTGGACCTGGCTCAGGGGGCTGGGATTTTGATATATTTTCTAATAAAGGACTTGGTCTCGCCTCTGCTCCTGCTTTGTGAGTCCCAGGCACCCTTTGCCTGTCTTTGCCCCCCACCCCACAAGCCTACGGGTGACAGAACAGCCAGACCACGCCAAGTTCCAGCAACTTTTATTTTCATGGGTGAGAGAATCCCCGCTAGCAGGGGCAGGAAGAGGTGAGAGCTGCGGATTAGCTATTAGGTTCTGTGCCCAGGACTCGAAATGCTGCCTGGCGCCCACTCTCTATACAGTCATTGACAGCAACCCCCTCATAGGAGGCTCCAGCCAGAGTCAGGGGCAGCCTTTGAGCAGCCAGGAATTGGGTAGCTGACTCTGGAAAGAAAGGATAAAAGGAAAGTTACAGCTGGGGGTCTAATTTCCTTGGTCCTCCACAACCCAGGTGCTTTCCCAACTTACCTAGTTTTTGCCAGTGGCCTAGTGTATACTGGGGGATGCAGTTCTGCGGGAAGAAGAGGAGATACAGGGAAAAATTTATTATTATTATTATTTTTTTTAAATAATTTTATTTATTTATTTTTTCCCCCAAAGCCCCAGTAGATAGTTGTATGTCATAGCTGCACATCCTTCTATTTGCTGTATGTGGGACGCGGCCTCAGCATGGCCGGAGAAGCGGTGTGTTGGTACGCACCCAGGATCTGAACCCAGGCCACCAGCAGCAGAGCGCGCGCACTTAACCGCTAACCCACGGGGCCGGCCCGGGAAAAGTTTATTATTGATGTCCCAGGTCTTGGTGGACAGTGACAAAGATACCAGTCCCTGCCTTCAAGGCCTTCAGTGGGGAGCTGAGGGGCGTTTACCCCAACTCACCTTGTGTAGATGGACCAAACAGTGACTTGGTGGCTCCTTCAGTCCTAATTGTGTGGCAGCTGCTTCCTGTGCTTGCTGTTGGAATAGCTCCCGAGATAATACACAGCCCCTGGCTTCCAGTGTCTGTAACCAGGAACCTCCCAGCATCACCTAGGGAGGGAATATAGCACTGACCAGCCTGGCCTTACCTACACTGGGGCACAGAAGGTCCCTTGGGAAACCCCCATAAACAAAGCTGCCTTCTCTCACAGTCACTCTGAGGCCAGGGGGGCTCCCATCCTGCTCAGGGAAAGCAACTGAGTCGTACACAATTCCCAGGGTGCTTGGGTCTTCTGAGGATGGCACCAAATGTCCAAATCCCTGGAGAAAAGGAAGAGACCGGGTCAAGTGGGGAGGGTCCCAGTTGAGCCCATGTCTCCCCTTCCTCTGGGTCACACCTGGACAGGCAGACGAGCTCCTCGGTACTGCAGATTCACCACAGCCACAGACACAGCAGTGATGGTACTCAGGGCACGAGCCAGAGGCGCAGCCTCAACAGGGAGTAGCTGGCTCAACACTGGAAGAGAGCAGGCAGAGACCTGCCTTAGAAGGCATTCACACTGCAGTTTCATCAACCCTCCTTGGGATGAGACTCCCATAGGGATGACCAATTCAGGGGCATGGTATGGTCCTGCTGGCCCAGAGAGCTACAGCTTGCCTCAACCTGGCAATGGCGGGGGTGGGGGGTGGGGGGTGGGGCAGCTACCCCATTACCTGAAGCTGGAACAGCACTAATGATGTGGTCAGCATCCAGACTGCTGTCCCCTAGAGACACCTAAGAGGATGAAAACATTTGAGAGAGACAGAGATAATGGAAATTTTGCCTCAGTTTCCCAGGCACCCAAGTGGCAGGACAGACTGGTACTGACCCAGGATGAAGAGATAAGTGATGTGCAGTCAGCACAAAAATCACTCCCCTATTACTCTAGGAAGTGGGCCAGACTGAGGCCAGTGTGGCCACTCTGAAATGTTTAATGGAGCTGGGTTGTTTCTTCCCCTATCTCTGAGCCACTTATAAGCACTACTTCTATCCACAGACTTGGATCATACAGGTCTTGGAGGAAGGTCCAACAGTAAGGCCTAAGAACCTGGGGGAGCCCATGTTAAATAGTTTCTAGGGCAAGAAAACAATGAGTAAGCCTGGTCCTGCCAGCCCTGGCCTGGTTAAAACATTTAGGCAAAGATGGAAACTCTAACACACAGGTTCATTACACTCAAGGGGGCTCTCCTACCTTCCAGCGCCCTTCTGCCTGGAGGCTGAGCCCACAGACCGGCCGGCCTCTGAGAACACTGACCCCCCTACTAGTCAGGTGGGTGTTAAGGGCCTGGGGCAACGTCTCCAATCCTCCACGGAGTGACCACTGGCTCCAGCGCTCAGCTCGGGCCTGGCGAATGAGTGCTGAGTCTGGCTGTGGGCTCCGCCCTGCAGAGGAGGAAGCAGAGAAGAATCAATAAAATAGCATCCCTTGCCTTCATTCCCTCACTCTGGCAGTCCTTAATATCTTCACCCCTTGAACCAATCCCCCCCTCACCTGCCCCCAGCAGCAGCCCCAGTAACACGGAACGATGGGTTTGCTCAGCTTGGAAGAGACTGGGAAAGCAGGACCTGATGCTGAGCTCACGGCTGTTGCCTGCAAACACTCCACGGCAAAGACTGTCCATGGCTAGAGACGCCACCTTAAGGGTGAGACTGGGACTGAGAGGCCAAGGAATAAGCTACACTGGTTTCCACTGCCCCTACTTGGTAGGGAATGGGGGTGGGGTAGGGTTTGGTTTGGGGAGCAGTCCCACTATAACTTATGAGAAGGAAGTGAAGGCATTCACTGCTACCACTGAGTTTTGGGGACTACTGGGTAGAAAGAGAAGATGGCATTCCCAAATGATACAGAAGAGCTCCTAGGTAGCAGGTTTGAGCAGGGGGCTCTGCAGCTGGTTTAGGAGGGGAGGGATTTGGGGCCTCCTGGCAGCATCACCTCAGGTCCAAGGCGGCGCTGGGTAAAACTGTGCACAGTCTCATCAGGGTCTTTGCCTCGGGGCGTGATCAACTCCCTCAGTCCAGCCCAGAACAGAGGTTTGGAGAAGGGAGGTGAAGGGCGGAGTAGCCCCCTGCATGGAGGAAGGCATAATGAGGAGGGAGCTCTGATTTACCTCCCAGCTCCAGGGGGTCATTTCCATTCACTTGGCCCCTTTTGCTGGGAGGGCTGACAAACTGGGAGATGAGAAAATGGAAGGAATATGAGGATGGGGGCACAGTAGAAGAATGTGCAGTAAGGAGGTGATAGTGTTACCTGAGACCAGTGGGCAGGGCGTGCAGGGCACCGCCTACATACAGGAACCTGTTCTGGGCAGCTGGATGGTCTCCCCGGACAGGTAACACTTCTGAGTCCAAGCCAAGCTCAGAAATCTGCTCTCCGCACATCCTCAAGAAGAGGAGAAACTAAGGAAACGACTGACCACCAAATATACTTTTTCGCCTCCCCTCACCTCTATCCTCTAGTGAAGGCCCTTGGGAACCTCTCCTGGCATTCCAGAAGCCTCTCACCATGAGCAAGGTCCGGGCTCCCAGGGCTCCCGCCGGCCGAATTCCTCGAGGTCCAAGTTCAAAGATAGCACCATCCGGACCTCGTACTGAGCGGATCCAGCCTCCCAGACGCTCGCTGCCCTCCACCAGGACCACCTGGGGACGAGACGGAGCCACTGCAGCACCGCCTACAGCCGTGGGGTAAAAAGTGTGGAGGGGAAGGGGGCGGCGATTCCGCGGGCCAGGATCCACCTTTTGCTGGAAATGGGAGAAGGGTATTAAAGGGGCCTCCCTCGGGCACAGTAGGGCACTCACCTTGGGTGGACAGGGGGCCCGGCTCAGGTGGTAACTGGCGGCCAAGCCGCTGATGCCTCCGCCCAGCACGACCACAGTCCGACCCATTGGGAAGCCTGAGGGAGAAGGAGCGATAAAGACAGGCTGACCGGGGGACACCCTGCTCTCCAGAAGCCCGGCCGATACCGCGTTCCACCCCCGGTCATTCACTGCTTTAGGGGAAACTAAGGCAGAGCCGGAGAACGGGGTGGTGGAACGGTGAAGTCCCCGCCCAGAGCCCATGACTCACCACGAGAGGGACGAGAGAAAAGGAAGGAGAAAGAGGTAGAAGTCTCAAGACTTCACCCAGCCGGCACTCCGCGGGGAGGCCGATAAGGGCCACACCCACGCTATCTGCCGGCGCGGGGCTCGGGGCGCCGATCGGCCGCCTGAGCTCTGAGGCGCTCTGCCTGCCGCGCCTCACTAGGCCTAGTGCTTTGAGTCCGCTACCTCCTCCCCCAACCCTTTCGGCCTCTCCGACATTCCGTCCACTCTATTCTCGCGGCACGCTCCCGCCGCTGTCTTTCCTGCTCCTCCATTGGTGGGTCCTGGAAAGCCCCGGATCACATTCACCAATGAAAACGCTAGGCTGCCAGTGCCCCAGCGTAGGCGGAGGGACGGCGTCTGCAAGGGGCTGCTCGGTGGAGCTGGAGCTTAACTGGTTCCGTGCCGGGTTAGAGTGAGCAGCTGTATCTGGCGCTGCCCTCCCCCAGGGCTGGGGCGGGGAGAGCTGAATCGGGGTTAGCATTCCCCAGCTCAAACTTCCCAGGCCCAGCTAGGGTGAGAACCCTGGAGGGAGGGCCTCATGAGCTTTGGTTGTAGGGAGAGTGGATAGGGGCACTGGAGGCTGGTCCGTGGGGAGGCGGCTCCATAAACAGCTCCTTGATATTAGCAACAGCCTGGGCCTACGGGAGCCAGGGCCGCCCGGCAACGTACCCAGTGTTTGTCAACATGGGTCCTTGGGTGGCTCGCCCTCGAGGGGCAGCCCCTTTACCTGCAAAACCCGTCGCCCCAGTGCCTGCACTCTAGTTCCAGGCTTTCCCGCAGCTTCACAAGTCTCAAGTTTGCCTTCCCTTTTTTCCTCCCAACGTAAACATTCATTGCTTGGGCAAACGTTGGCATAAACGTGTCCGGGTCCGGCACCACCATCCCCACGCCCGCCCGGCTCCGAGAGCACCCCCATCTGTTCAGAGAGGGAACTGGGTCCCAGGAAGACTCCAATTCGGCCCAGTTCTGTATCTGCACACCCTAAGCACAAACATAAGTGACATCATTTTTTCTTAATAAATTTATTCACAAAAAGTGAGATTGTAGAGGTTCTGGGGGCTGTACACGGGCAGGGGCCTGGGGAGCTCTGTAGATGGGGCCGGGAGACAAAGGACCCTCCAGATGGAAAGGTACTTTTTAATAAAAATAATGGGAGCTACAACCACCCCCTCCCCCCTCCCCGATTAAAAAGACACAAAAATAGACGTCTCTGAGGTAAACGGGGAGCCTGGGGCTTAAGAGTGTTGAAAGGGTTTCACAGGTGCCAGGGCTTAAAGGGGGTGTCACAGGCACCGGGGTGGCTCCTGCATCAGTTGGTAGAACAGCACGTAGCCTTCACTGGATGCCACCTGGTTTTCACTGACAGGGGAGACACTAGGAAGAAGGGAGATGGGGAGGGGGTTGTGATCATTCCTGTATATTCCCTCCTCCCCACAAGATCAATCTCACAGTAAACAGGAAGAGATCAGGAGAGACCCCACCTGTCCTTTCACCAGGCACTCTGTTCTCCTGGGGCTTCATATTAGGGAGAGGGGTGAGGGCTGCAGTGGGAACGGGACAGGAGTTGAATAGGAGGCTGTTCTCACCGAGAGTCATTGTAGACATGCCAACCAGACTGGCACCGGCACAGGGCTGTGTAGTGGCCATAGTGGACACTGCCCGAGTGGTTGCAAAGGGCGTACAGCTGATATATGGGGCTTCCTGCAGGGTTAGAGATGGTCAAATTCCTCAGAGCTGTGCCCCACTCCCACTCTCTCCCTCCCCTTCGTGGGGCTCCTTAGGACCTTCCCTACCAGACTCACCGGCTTTGTCACTAGCAAAGTCCCCTAGGCTCAGTCGCTGCAACGGGAAGTCTACACCTATTGAACTTTTCTTGATGGAGCCTCGGGAGGCTGAAAATCGATTAAGATCTAAGCCCTGGTTAAGGAGCATCTGGGAGGCAGAGGGCCCCTGAGGAGGACTGAGGTCTTGAATGCTGCCCACTCCCCTCCCTGAACACACACTGGGAGCACGGTAGGGAAAGGTGGAGTGGCAGGCTTTTCCTAAGGAAATTTCAATGCCCAAATGTCCAGCCTCCGCAAACATGGAGAATGAGAAAAAAGAATGGATGGGAGAAATAAGAATTTGAAGATTAGGATACGGAGCACGAGGATTCGGGGGAATCTTTGTACTGTCAACTTTTTGGTACTTCGTGTTTTCTGCCGACATCGGTCACACACCTGAATAAATGTCAAATAAGGTTCCGTTAATGTACTCCTCACTTCAATTGGCTTTTCCAACACCCTGACTCACATACCAATTTACTATGCTCCCCAATACTTCTGTATCCTCTGGGCCACTCCCCCTTTGCCCTAGAAGTATGAGGACATATCTGAGACTCCAACACAAATCCAGACATATATTATTCCCTATACTAAAGCATCATGGAATCCCTTTTACCCATATGCAGCTCCCTACCCCAGGTCTCCCACCCCTACTATATCCCTTGTGAACCCCCACATACTGGGGCATTCTCCGACTCTAGCTCTTCTTCCTTGGTGAAAAGGCTGAAACAATCCCGCAGAGACACCTTGCCCCCAGCAAATCCTTTCTGGGGGGGAAGGGGAATGAAGGGTCAGCATGTTCTGAATTTCCTTTTCCAACTCTTCTCAATCAATCCAGGATTCGATTCTGCTCCAGAGACCCACAGGGTTCCCTCCCACACTCTGGGGGTGGGTAGGGTTGGGTCACAGAGCCCATGTCCCATCCACCCCTGGAATCCTCTGGAATCCCACCTTGGGGATGGGCAGGGACAGGTCACAAAAAACCTCGAAGGTCGTGGAGCGATACCCACAGGCCTGGCACTTGAGACAACTTTTCAACTGGCCCACAAACAGGTCTAGACAGAAGCAAACAGGCAGGAGAAACAGTCACTGTGGGATGCCTAAGATGCTTCCTTGGATTCCCGCCTCTTCCCATCCCTCCGCCTGACCCTTCCTTTCCCACCACCACCACTCCTAACAAAGCCCTCACACCTTTTCCACATTTTCATCATCCAGTCTTGTTCTCACACCCCTTAACAGCAGCAGTTTTTCTCCCAAGCCTGCACCCCCACACACTAATTTTCCGCCACTGCTCTGCCCCATTCCATACCCACAATCTTGCTGTCCTCTCGCTCCAGGTAACGCTTCCACATTAGGTTGGCTCGGTCATCATCACTACCACAGATCAAGGGAAGTGGGGAGCACCCATGAGACAGCAGGAACACTGGGCCCCCAACACCACTGAAATGATCCACAGAGCCCTGTACCCCATCCATACCCCAGCTCCTTCTCTAAATTTCAAGGAAGAGTCAAAGGAGTAATGCTTTGGAGGACTTTGGGGGAATCCAAGGTGAGAAGAAGAGAAAGGCATGTAGACAAAGGAAGAACGTGCTGTCTTCCTCTACCTGGCCTCAAACCCTTTATGTACCCGGTTGTAAATTAATTATCCCCTCCTCCCTCAATATGGTGACATCCCTAGCACTCTCCTCTGCCTCCATCTGCACCCCTCAGCCTCCCTCCTCCTCCTAGCTTCCTCCTACTTCTGCACTGCTTCTCAAACCATTTCCTAGGCAAAGTGTTTCCCTAGACCCTACCTCCTCAATCTTGACTAGCTCAGTTCTGTGAATATGAATGCTGCTGATAAACTACTGGGGAGAAGAGGGAGGGAGGGCAACCTTACCTTAACTCAGGTTCTTCTAGCAGAGCCCCTCCACGGCGGGGTGCAGAGGGAGCTGGACTGTTGGCCAAGATTGGTGGAGCCCGGCGGCCTCGTCGGTTGATTTCAAGGTGTAGACGCTCCATGAGGAGCTTCAGGAACTCTTGGGCATCCTGCTGGCTACAGCCGGACAAAGTATGGGCAACTGGCCCCTGCCTAGTCCACAGACACTATCCCCTACCTAGACATTGGTCCCCACTTCCTGGATGAAGAACATCTCAAGGCTCAGAACAATGCTGCCAGGGCCCCTGATCGGCCCTACCCCCAGATATGGCCAGAGAGAAATCCCATACCCTTCAGCTCTCCCACCTGTATCCAGAGAAGGAGGGAACGTATTTCTGGAAGACAGCTCGGAATCGAGTAGGATTCACAGCTTCGCAGGAGTCAGGGTGCCACAGGGCACCAATCACATCTGCAAAGGCTATTGGGGTGGGAGTAGGGAAGGGAAACAAAGGTTAATGACTGGAAGAGACAAGCAAGAGGAGGCTCAGAGGGTGGAAAACAACCTCTAGGAAAGCAGGTATTGGGAAAAACAGATGCAAATGCCAGATTTAAGGGTTGGGGCCACTAGCACTGGCAGATGGATCTGAAAGGGGCTGGGGAAAAGAGGACTTGAAAGGAGGCGCAGGAGTTGTTGCCCCACCTTCAGTGAGCTCTTGGGCTCGGCCCCCTCCAGGCACCTCTTGCCGGAAGTCCCTTCGCAGACAGAAGTCCCGAAGAGGCCGAGTGCTGCTCAAACACTGTAGCACAGCATTCAGGAAGCACTGGGGAGCAGCAGAGACACTGCCATTATCTCTCCAGACCAGTGCCCAGGAAGCCTCAGAAGAGCTTCAGTGCTCTCCTTCCCCCTGCCCCCAGCACCATTTCACATTCCTGTTAGAGAGGAAGGACAGGAGAATGACTCTCACCGTGTTTCCCAGATTTCGGAGGCCAACATGGCCAGAGCCCAGAAGCAGTGTGTGGTGAGCCTGGAAGGTCAGAGTACAGTCAGCAGGTTCCCATATGTCCCAGCTGGCACTTCAGCCTTTCAACAGCACATTGCCCACTGCCTCCCCCACCCCTACTTCACCCCCAAACTCTACCCTCTTTCCCTCACTGGGTATTGGGGTCTCCCTACCTCACTGGCCATGAGCAGTAAGCCCATCACAGCTGAGTGTACCACGGACTCAGCCATGGCTGTCCCACCTGTCCACCACTTACTCCTCTGCCCAGCTAGCCGGCGTTGCAGCTCCTGGGGCAACTCCCCAAGCACTGGCATGGTTGCCCAGCTGCTCCCCACCCCCACCTTGCTGCCCCCAAGGCCCCCTCCTGCCCCCGTGGCCCCTTCCTGCACCCTTTCCTGATGGCTCCGACTGCAATCAGCCTTGCTCACTTAGCTCGGGAAATGGGCAACCACACTATCTCAGCTGTTCTGAGCCCGCCCCTCTTCAGCTCCAGAGATTAATTAGGCCTAGGCAGCGTCCTAGGAGAGAAGGTGCAGCAAGGGAAAGTAAGGG